AGGATAGCAGCCCCCACACCCCCCAGCCCAGCCCCCCCAGCAGCACCCCCACGCCGGCTCACCCAGCCTCCTCTCCATCCAGCCTCGCTCCGTTGTCGCTGCCTGGCCCCCAGCTCAGCATCATCCTTGGCCCAAACCTTCCCCAGGGGCTGCTTCCCAAAGCCCCTGCCGCCCCGGGGGAGGAGAAGGTCTCGGTGGCCAGGCAGGTTGGTGGTGTCCCCGCACAGACCCCCTCAGGGCAGTACTTCACCACCCTGCACACCTCGCTCTGTGACACGATTTCGGGCTCGGTGTCCCGCTCCTCCCCAGAGCTGCTGCGGCAGTGGCTGGAGATGGCTGAGCCGGCAGAAGAGCTGGGAGAGATGCCTGAATCCCTGCCCAAAAATGGCTCCAAGACTCCCAATCCTCAGAAGCCCAGCAATGGCAAGGAGATCTGGCTGGCTTTCCAGGACGTGGCCGTGCTCCTCACCAACCTGCTCTCCCAGCTGAAGACCTTTATGTTCGCTTGCCCTTTCCCCCACGTCGTCCGGGCGGGAGCCATCTTCATCCCCATCCATGTGGTGAAGGAGAAGCTCTTCCCGAAGCTGCCCGGGAGCTTTGTGGACCAAGTGCTGCAGAAGCACAAGGTGGAGCTGCGTCCCACCACCCTCTCAGAGGAGAAGCACCTGAGGGACCTGGAGCTGAAGAGCTGCACCTCCCGCATGCTGAAGCTCCTGGCGCTCAAGCAGCTTCCCGAAATCTACCCCGACCTGCTCAACCTCCACTGGTACAACTCCATCCAGCAGCAGCTCGGTAGGTAGCCCGGCATCGCCTGGGGATGGGTCCCTGGGGCTCTCCCAGGGATGTTCCAGGCACATTGGAGCCCTCCAGGTGCTGCTGTTCTTGGGGAGCATCCAAAGGTTCCTCAGCATCACTGTCCTGCTGATGGTTCTGCCCAGCTTTTCCTCCGTGGGTTGTGGAGGGGGAAAGTTTGAGCTGGAAGGGAGAAAACTCATCCTGGGGGTATCAAGGAGGTTTCAGTCAGTTCCAGGCCACCTCTGCCCATCCAAGAGTGCAGTGTCAGACCTGCCACCCATGGCTGTCCCATCCAGCTGGTGACTTCACTGCTGTGTCCAGATAACCTTTTGTTGTCGCTCAAGGCCATTACCAACAACTTTATTTCTTCCAGGTTCAAGCTCAGAGACTGGCCAGCAGCCTTCCAAGTAGGTAATAACCCTTTTCCACATGGGTTTATAGGAATTTATGGGATTTGTTTGTCATTTTGTGGAGGTGTATGTGTGTGGATTTCATGTGATGATGAGCAGCTCCAGCTGCCTGGGGAGGCTCCACTCCCTGGGCCGGGCTGGAATGGGGTTGGATATTGGGGATATAGGGGAGGTGTGCCTCCCCTAACCACTCCTTCCTCTCCCAGGTAGCCCTGGCGTGGGGGCACTGAAAGCTGATTGCAAAGCGACAGCCACGGACAGATCAAGGAAAAGGAGACACTGAGGAATGTGTCGAGGGCAACAGCCAAATGATGATGGGAATGGGAAGCTCCCGAGTCCCCAGAGCTGTGGATGCTGAGACCACCAGCAGCCCTGCAGACAGGTGCTCAGCTCCCACCAGCATCAGGATCCTTCAGGATTTTGATACCTTGCCAGGGACCCTCTGGGGATGCTGCTCAGGTGGAGAACAGCTCAGTGATGCTCCAGGGACACACACAGAGACGCTGGTGGGTTATCCAGGCCCGCGGACATGGGCTTGAGCCCCTCACAGCAGCTGGAGCTGCTTTTCTTTGAATGGATCATCTTTTAGTGCATCTCCCGCCTCCATCCACGATTGCCCTGGTGAGCTGAGAGGGAATGGCGGGAGTTCCAGTGCAGCTGGAGCAAGAGGAGCATGGAAATGGCCACAACACCATCCCAGCCTTAGAAAAAGGGACTGCAGTGATGACATCCCACCTCTCTCCTCTGAATCCCCCCTCCTGCTTTATATCCCAATTTGTTTAGGGTATTATCCCAAATATTTATCCCAATAAACCCAAAGTAATCCCAAGTTATTATCCCAAAAAACATCCCCTTCCTCTGGAATTTTCACCTTTAAAGTGCCACAAAGACCTGGCACCAACAGCAAGGGCAAGGGAATTGTGACTTCCATAGTCCCAGGACTTAGATTTTTTTTTTGTTAAAAATGAAGACATTTTACAAATGTTCTGGATTTACCTTTATAAGGAACTGCTGCCTTCAGGTCATGTGTTTTGGGTTGTTTCTTCTTTAAATACAGTAATTTATACGTGTCTTTTTATTTAAACTAAAAGGCTGCAAGAAAGATTTAAAGACTCTTAAAGAAAAGAAAACCTCACTTTAAAAAAAATCACTTTACATCCCAGATCCTGTCCCAAAGGAGAATGTGGGAGATGCACATTCAGGGACCTCCTTGGTGGAGACTAAAGGGGCAGGGAGGGGAATGATGCTGCCAGACCTTGGAAGGAGGGATCTTTTCAGCCCAAAGGGATCCCAGGAGGGATGTGGGCATCCCAGGACTCCCCTCACCCTGGGGGGCTGCAGCAGCATACACAGCAGAGGCCTTAACTCATCACTCAGGTGTTCTCCAAGCTGCTGCAGGGCATGGAGGAACAAAATAAGGGTTGTTCAAATTTTGTATTTCACTACAGGGAATATTTATTTTAAACTAAGAAAACAGAGGAGGGGGGGGAAAGACTCTACCCAAACTGTACTTATTGTAGCCAAAAGGTGTGTTTGCTACTGGGGGATTTCTGTGGGTGCCTTCCTGGTTTTCTGTGGGGATGGGGTGGCTGTGGGTGGGATGGGTAAGGGGGATGTTGCTGTTCTCACTCCCCCTCACCATTCACTGTGCACAGGGATTTGGGAAGCGATGTTTGTTAATAATGTTGTTGTTTTTATAACATATATAAGGTTCTGGGGAAGAAAGTTCCTTCCCTTTATTTAATTTTTTTGTAAGAATATGAAGAGTTGCCTCACCTGGTTTAAAAGAGTTTGGCTTGTTTCCAAACATGCCCTGCTTCTGTCTCTGCTTCCCAGTGTGGGCACAGCAGGACCTTCCTGGGGCTGGAGGCTCCCCAGATCCCACACCCGTGCACTTGCCCACTCCTCCCTGCAACAAGCCACAAGTGCTGTGTGCAGCCCCTCTGTGCCAGCACTGGAGGCTGGATCCAGTGTCCCAGATGCCATCACAGGAGCACATCCCAGCCTCCACAATGCCCCTGCATGACAGCCTGGGAAGAGGCTGCTGGTGGATGTCTGAGCATCAGAAACTGGGCAGGAGAGTGTGGGGTGCTCAGGGGTGCAGCCTGGGCTGACCCAGTGCGGGTCCCTCTGCCTTGGGAGCCTCCATCAGGCACAGAATCTGACTGACCCCAAAGGCCAAGTGCTGCAATCCACACTTTTCAGCCCCAAATAGTGGAGCCCAGCAAGTGAACACTTCCACAACCTCACAAACAGGGTGTTTTGGGGAGCATCAGCAGGTTTGGGGATTATCCTGCCTGCAGGGGAAGGCCCACCCCCACCTTCTGCTGCCAAGGGCTCAGTGAGGAGCAGAGGGAAGCTAAGCCCCCTCCAGCTGCACCTGGGGGAGTGCAGATGAGTTTGTGTTAATTGGGAGCAGCTGGAATGGAGCCACATCCACCCCACCTGAAAAACCAGATAAAAGCCAGGGCTTGGCTGGGCTTTGGTGTTCTCTTCTCCAGGGGTGCTGCTAGGTGAGGGGTACTGGTGGGCCTGGCCCTCCTTGGGGAGGTTTCTGGGGACGGTGGGTGTTTGGGGCAGGGACTTGAGGTAATGTCTGAGCCTGGGGCTGCTTACAACCATGTACTGCACTGGGAGCTTCCTGGGAGGTGCTGAGGCTTGGCACAGGCTTTCCTGAGCTATTAGACTGCTGAAAAGGAAGATGTTTTAATAAGGAGTTCTGGGGATGGGAAGCTTGGGAATGGGGCAGGCACTGGGATGTGGGAGCTGCAGAGACCCACCCTTAAATCTCCTGCTGTCCCTCTCCACAGCTGGGCTCTCGCCATGGCCTCTCCCAAGATGAGCCGAGGGGTTGGACCACCAAGCCCCCCGGAGGCTGCTGCCCTGTGGCCAGAAGCACTGCTGCGTGCCCAGAGGGAAGGGGCTGCGGGCACAGCGCTGTGTCCCACTGCCTGCGGGGCTGTCCCTGCCCACAGGCTGTGGTGTGGGGCCTTCCTGCTGCTGGCCGTGTGTGTGTGTGCTGCTGCTGTCCCCTCTGGCCTGGGCACTCTGGCTGCTGCCACCTGGGCTCACCTGGGCCTGTCAGCCTCCCAGCCAGGGCTGGGTGATAGTCTGGTGACAGCACGTGGGGACCTCCTCACCTCGGGCTACTCCCCAGGGCTCCAAGGAGCTGTGACCCCTGGGACAGGTGCTGGGGGATGGAGCCTGGGGACACGGACTGTGGCCACACGGATGTCTCAGACCTGCCTGCAGCAGCAGCCTGGATCTGGGGACAGGGAAGAGCTCAGGCTGGGCATGGTGCCACTCCGTGGGGCAGCTGCAGGGTCTCAGGTTCCCCCTGAAGTCCCCACGTGGACCCCTATGGATGCTCGCTCCTGGAGCCCCAGCACGGCAGAGCAGGCAGCAGCCTCTGCTCTGCCAGCACAAGGGACACCCAGCTCGGCTGAGCTGCACCCTGAGGGGCTCTGGGGCACTGCTGGCACTGCCCTGCCTGGGAAAGCTGCTCCCTTGGTGGATGCTGCGTTGGCCCAGGTCCCAGGAAATGGGTCTGGGCTCCTGGATGCAGTCCTGGCATCACTTCCTACCACTGCAGCAGCTCCTGGTGCCCACAGTCAGGACATGCTGGCTTCCTCCCTTCCCACAGCAGCGTCTGGGGCTCCTGCTGTCACCTTGGGGACACAGAGTGAGTGGCCTTCTCCCCCTGCACTGTCCACTGCAGCTTCCCCAGCTCAGACCAGGGCTCCCAGCCCTGCAGGTCCCACCGGGACTGGGATGAGCTCCACAGCCACTGGTGCCATCCCAGAGCTTGGACAGACATTTATGATGGAAGCATCCAGGCACAGCAAGCCCAGAACAGCATCAGTGGCACCTGCTCCCACTCCAGCAGGAGCTCTGGGGCCCACCCCTGCCAGCCCAGGCTCTGTCCCCTGCTCCACAAACCCAGCTCTGGAGCATGGCTCTGAGCCTGGGCATCACGCTGTCACTGCCAGCAGTGTGACATCTCCACCCTGCCTGCTGACTTCTCCTGGAGCTGGGCATGCAGCCTGCTCCCTGCTCAGCTCCCAGACCCTGCCTGTGCCTACAGAAGTGAGCCTCAATGCCCACATCATGTCCAGTGGCTCCAGCACTTCCCAGCACTCCTCCACAGCCATGGAACATCTCCCTGCAGCCACCAGAGAGGCCTTCAGCCCAGCTGAGCTGATGACAAAGGGTGTACCTGGCTCCACAGGGACAAAGCCCCCTGCATCCCACCCCTCCAGCCTCCCCTTTCCCACATGGCCTGTGCACGTGCTGCCCTTGCAATTCCGACTGCTGGGAATCACTTACACCCTGGCTCTAGGCAGCAGGAACTCGGAGAGCTACCGGCAGCTGGAGGGAGATGTGAGACTCATGGTGGGTGCTGGAGGTGGTTGGGACAGATTTAGCACTTTGGGGTGGCCCTACTGGGGTGAGAAACCTGTGTGCTGCACTGGCCCTTGGATGGCTGATCGCCCACCTGAACGTGGTGGAGGTGGGTAAACCCCTGGCACTGCTCCACTGGAGCTTGGTTTGATGTGGGACTGGGCTCCCCTCACCTCTGGCAGCCAGCAGGGCCATGGCACACGGTGTTATTCTGTCCCAGGAATGCCGGTGGCTGCTCTGGGTATCCCAGCTCATTCCCAGGCATGCCCAGAGGGCTGGGGGCCGGTGTGCCCTCCCCTGGGCCAGCTGAGCTGACTTCCCTCTATTGCTCATCTGCGTATCCCACTCACATGGGGGAGCTTGGGAAGCCTTCTCAATGAATTACCAGCTGCTTCTTCCTTCCAGCTAAACCAGATGCTGTCCAGCTACGAGAGCTTCCTGCAGGCAAATGTCCTTGAGTTCATGTGAGTGTGCAGCTGATGTGGAGGGGTGGGTTTTGCAGAAGCTGCAGCCTGTGGTAGCCAACCTGGCCTTAAGGAGAGTAGAAGAGCAACTTTTTACACTTAACTTTGATGAAGACTCTGTTCTCTTGGGAAAAGTGCATTCCAGAGGAATTACCACAGCCATAAACACCTCGAGTGAAAGTTTTTCCTTTGCCTCCCACAACGTTGGGAGGTTGATGTTTGAGTAGATGGCTGATAAGGGCAGAAATTCTGCTCTAATTAATGTTCGGTGGTGTGGCTGTTTTGTCTTTCCTCTTACGCATTCCCAAGATTTTCTTTAACCTTTCCCATAGTAGAAACGTATCAATACTGGAGTGTGTGTAACAGAGATGGATTCTGCTGGAAGAAGCAGTGGTCTCTGTTGTGGTTTTTTTCCCAAGCTGCTGCAGGTTTGGCTTGGAGGGAAGGGTTTCCCCAGGAAAATGCTCCAGACAGGTCAATGTGAGAGGCTATGCTCCCCTCTGGTGTCATCATCCCAAAGGGATCCCTGTCTGAATTTCTGGATAAATGTACCTGGGGAAAAAAATAAAAAGCAGCAGGTTGTTCTTCCTCTTATCTCCTCTCTCTCCCACCCAGGAATGGCTCTGTGGTGGTGCGAGGGGAGGTTTTGTTCCGGGGGGATGTTCCTGCTCCCACCAGCTCCCACCTCATCCGGACAGTTGTCACAGAGGCAAGCAAGGGAAGGAGCATCTTCAGCTGGCAGCTGGAGCCCCAGTCTGTCCAGTCAGGTGGTAAGTCCTGAAGATCTTCCCACAGCAGGGCTGCTGCTGCCACCAAGTGCCCTCCTTGTGCCTCTCTCAAAGCCCAAACCAGTGCAGTTTGGATTCCAGGCTTTTCCTTCACTTAACATCACTTCTTCTGGCCTGTGGAAAACCACTGTAAGGATGTTAAGGGTGGTGGAGGGTACATCTGCAGCAGCTGGACCTGTGTGGGCCCGTGCTTCTGCTCGACTCTCTGGGAAATGGTACATCCTGACCCCTTCCCACATTCAAAGGAATTCCTCCTCACTCAGCTGCCCTGCTGCTCTCTGCTTTTGGTGTGTGGCTATGGATGAGATCAAGGCTGAACAAGATCTCCCAAGGAAGATGGAAGAGCCAGTATGAGCATAACTCTTCCAAACTCCTCCCTTAGGCTTCAGCCTGGAGAACCTGGACCCGGAGAAGCTGTCCATCTCCCTCACCGGCTCCCAGCTGGGGATGAGCCCGATGGGTCCTCTGGAGAGGCTGGTCCATGAGGTATGCCAAGCCTTGGGGGCCCTTCCAAAGGGTGATGCTGGGAGAATGGGCACAGGCTGCCTGGGTGGTGGAATAACCTGAGCCAAACAGGGGAAGGTGTGACCTGTTGTCTTTTCCCTGCCCAGATAACTTCATCTGTCAGTGCCCTCTACCATGTGAGGAACTTCACCATCTCCCAGCTCAGGTATGGGATGCAGCTGCTCCTCTGCCAACATCTTCATTTCCCTATCTTCACTGTCTCCTGTGCCCTCTGTAGCTGTTGAGCTGTGCTGCAAGGCTGGAGAGGATGGGAAAAGCTGGGAGCAAAGTGTAATTGAGCACCTTCTGTGGGCTCTCAGGAGAAAACCACCAGTAAAGGTGCTGGAGCTGGGTCCCAACCCTCCTGCCTTGCTCAGGGCTCTTCTCTCCCCTCAGAAACCTCAGTGGGAACACAGAGATCACTGGAGACCTCTACCTAGACACAGTTGTCCATGCTGATGCTACAGAAGTTCTGGAAGCCCTGACTGCACTCTCAGGCCTCTCCATGGACCTGACCTCCCTCTCGGTGGAGGGTAAGGATGGAGCCTGTGAGTGGTGTGGGCAGGGTTGCTTCCAGATCTGCACACCCAGCGCTTGTTTCTTGTTCTTTCAGGGTCCAAGCTTGGTCTGAATGTGTACCCTCTCTCCTTCCTCGTCACCAACAGACAATTCAGCCAGAAGCTTCAGGATCCACTCTCTGAAGAGCACCACAACCTCTCCAGGGACCTCGGTGATGCGGTAGGAATGGGGCTGGTGGGAAGAGGGGGTGAGAAGAAGAGCCATGGGAGGAAGCAGGGCTGCTTTGGGGTGTACAAACACCCCCAAAAGCTGGCGGGGAGCTGAGCACAACTTTTCTTCCAGGTGATGAGAGCCCTGAAGGATTACCCAACCCTCCTGAAAGTGATCATAAAAGAATTCCTGTGAGTGGGAGCAGGGGTTCTGCTGGGGCAGGGAGGTCTCCCTTCAGACATCAGCCAACAGGTCATGGCTGACAGGTGCATGTTTTTGGCTACAGAAGGATTTGCAGAGGAAGCTGAGGTCAAGCATTAACCCACTGTATCAGTGGTGACTTGCTGGACCTCCAGGGATGTCCCTTCCCTCCCATGGCTCCCTGAGTGCAGAGAGCTCTTCCTGCTGATCAAAACCCTCTGGGAGGAGGCTGGGTGTGCCCACCCTGTCCTGCTGTGGGGTCATGATGGGACTGGCAGCTGCTGGAGCTCTTCCCAACCCTGTCTGCAGGCCTGGCTCCTTGATCTGCCACGGGAACATGATATTCCAACACCCTGCTCCAAGCAGCATGGAGGTTTTGGCAACACTTGTGCTCTCAGTTGGGCCAAACCAGGCTTTGGCTGACTCAGACATCCATGTGGATCCATTCTCTCTCTCTGTGGGAGGTAAGCTCCCCTCTGGGATGTGGGTATGTGAGCTCCACGAGCCCCATGCCTCCACTGTGAGCAGAGGAGATCCATGGCTGACCAGATCCTGATCCCTTGTGTGAAGACAGGGTCAGATGTCTTGGCTGCTGAGGTGACCAGGAAGAAAAACCTCAGTAACAGTTGTGCCCTTTCCCTTTGCATAGCCTGGGGGATTGGGGTTGGAGACCTGCTGATGTAGGATGGGAGGAAAAGGCATGAAGGGTGTGGAACAGGTGTTTTTATATCTCGTATCTTTGTCCTGGAGCAGAGTGGGTGGCTGGCAGCCTGTGGGGCAAAGCTGGCTGCTCCAGGCTCTAAATGCTGTGCTTTGCTCCAGATGACACCTTGGAACGTCCCTCGCCCGAGCCAGGCTTCCCAGCCTATGGAGTGGCCCTCATGGTCATAGGTGGCCTCTGCATCATCATTGCACCCGTCGTGCTCGTGGTAAGGGCCAGTTCTGTCTGCTGAGCTGGATGAGCAGCCCTGGGCCCTTGTGTGGGCTGGGCTGAGGGGGACTCTGGGGGGCCAGCTGGGGCTGCAGTCCCTGTGCTCTCCTCCCTAGTGCCTGGGGACCAAGAGGCTGGGCTGGCAGGATGGAAGAGCCCTTTGGGACAGAAGAGACCCTGAAGTGGGGATCCAGACGTTGGAAATGGATAACCAGGGGTTCTGGACAGAGGTGAGTGGCCTTTGCTGCCCTTGGATTATTTTCTGAGCCTGGGAGCTGGTGTTTCTGCAGGTCCCATGTTGTTCTTTTACCTGGTGATCATCTCTGGGCTTGGAGAAGCCTGTGCAGAGGCTGTGAGGGAAGGGACCCCCACAGCTGCCTTTGCTGGAGGTGTCTAGAGTGACTCCTTCCCTCTCCCCTGCAGGACCCTGAGGATGGTCACATGGAGTGGCAAAGCACCTCTGCCTGAGGATAGAAGAAGCAGCTGCTGGGGGGAGCTTGGAGAGGGGCTGTAGGTGGGAAGGAGATGCTGAGAAGCACTCCCTAATCACCTGGCAGCAGCTGCCAGGTGCTCCCTGAGCAGAATGGAATAATTTTGTATCTGAAATAAACATTTGTAGACCGTGAAACCCAGTTGTGAAGGATGTGTGTCATCTGTGGAGATGCTGTTGAACCCTCTTCCCTTTGTGGGCAACCAGCCTTCCTCCCTGGGCTCCCAGTACCACCACAGCCAGGTGCTTCTGCTCTAACTGGTGCCAGCATATGCTGGGCTTGGTCCTCTCTAGCTCTGGGCTAACAACCCCACTGTTGGTGAGTTATAAAAGCAAGAATGTGCATGCCAGCCCCACAGTCACTTTTCCAGCTCCACGGTGCTTCTCCTTCCAGCACACTGGATTTTATTTCAGATCCTGGCGTGTTTGTTCCAGCCCCGAGCCTGCTCCCCCAGGCTTTACCTGAGCCCCAGCCCTGCCAGCAGCTCCTGCTGTGCACTCTGAGCGCCCCAGGGTGTTTATTTCAGATTCAGCTGGGTGCTGTTTGCCTCTGGCTCTGCAGGCCCTATCCCAGCCTCAGTGCCACCATCGGTATTTTGCCTCTCCCTGACCACAAGTTTTACTTCACCTTCAGCACCGCTGTCTCTATTTCAGGTAAGCCGAGGGGTTTTATTTCAGCTCCACAATCAGAATTTTACCCCCAGATCAGCGTCGTTTCCCCACAATCTTTATAAACCCTTCAATGGGATCCCAGCTCTACTCACCTCACCTCCGCTCTCACAGAACTTTATTTCCATGCCCGCTGTGCCCCTTCCCCTGCGGCCAGGTGCAGCTGCTTATGCAGCAGACCAGGATCTCTAGTTCGGGTTGAGGCCTGTTAAGCTTCAGCCGCAGCTCTGAGCTCCACATTCCCGCTCCGGCCCTGTGGCCGCGGGGCTGGGAGGGCGAGTGTGGGGCTGAGGCGGCGCCTCCACCGCCCCCTGCCGGGCTGAGGGGCGGGGCCGGGCCGCGCCCGGATTGAAAGGGCGGCTGTGATTGGCCAGGGCGGAGAAAGGCGGGCCGCGATTGGCGGAAGCCGTGAGGGCTCAGTCGGG